TATTATTATTATTATTAGAAAAAAATTATGACATTAGTTTTAAAGATTATGATTTTGGTAGGGGTTCATTTATTTACAAGAACGGGGACACAACAATCTAAAAAATCAACACTAATTATAGCCTATGGGGATAAGAATAACCTAAAGAGAATATCGAAACCTCAAAAAGTTAAGAACTAAAATGACTAAAAAGAATTAATTTTTTTTTTTTGAAAACACTAAAAAGAATTAATTGAATAAGTAGAATCGCAATTTTCCATTCCAATTTTTGTTTTAAAATAGTTGGAGGGTTAGTTATTCAATTGTTATACCATAGACCGGGGTCTACCTTGCATTGTGGATTTTGATCTAAAAATTATGTACTTTCAGTTAATAAATTATGTGCCTATAAATAAATTGAAGTCACATAATTTGTTAACTACATGCACATAATATATTATTTACAGATGCAATCTATAAACTGCAAAAACATAATTTGTTAACTGTAGCCGCATAATCTAAATGTTATTTTGGACCAAGATCTACAAGGTAAGGTGGACCCTGATCCATGATGTAACTTGTCTTATTTATTTAAGGAGTATGGATGAAATGACAAATTATTGTGTGGACCACGTTCTAAAACGCCATCGTTGAATTTTATGAGTTAGAATAATGTACATTATGAATTAGAATAATGTACTGTATGTGTTAGAATAATGTACATTATGTGTTAGAATAATGTATTTTATGAGTTAGAATAATGTACATTATGTGTTAGAATAATGAGACTTCTGGGTTAAGATATAATGTACTTTATGAGTTAGAATAATATGCATTATGTTTTAGAATAATGGACATTATTAGTTATAAAAATATACTAACTCTGTCCCATTTTATTTGTTATACTTATTACTATTCATTGGTCAAAGCAATTTGTTTTTGTTTATTTTCTTTAGTAATTTTTACTTATTTTTAAATTTGGTTTTTTGTGTTTAATAGTATTTTTAGTGTAGTTTCTAAATATATAAATTTGTATACTAATAGTGTCTAATACTAAACTTATATTATGAAAATAGGATTAAAATAACTCCAGTTAAACCTCATTAACCAAATCAGACACATAAAATGGAACAAATGGAGTATGTTGTAGTGGGTCACGTGAAAAAAATTACACGAAATAACGTCGTTTTTGGACCATGATTCACACAATAACTATTGGGATGAAATGGTTTGACTTTGTTACAGTATATATTCATAACTATTTTCTCAAAGTACATTGAGGCCCGAACCCAGAACTTCTCATATTGGAGATCAACTTAGTGCCACTAGACCACAAGGTCTTTGAACATCTATCAAATGCTTATCAAGGTCTTAGACATGTTAATTTGCTTTGGAACCTAGGGTTTTTCTCTTACGGCGTCTCTCCCTAAACTTAGAGCTTCTACTGCTTTCCGACGATGAGCTCACGGCGACAGCAACGATCGATCGGCGAAGCGGGCATGGCGTCCTCGGCACAGCAACAGCGTGAGGTGGAGGCGATCTCGGATCGCTGGGCAGACATAGCGCTCGACGAGGAGGAAGGTGGCGTTACTGCGGCTGATCCATATGAGCCGACGGTGCACCGGTGTACTCGGTCGTTGGAAGGTTTTTGACGACGAAATTGATCAAGGTGGAGTATATGAAGCAAGTTCTGGCATCGGTTTGGCAACCGATTATGGGCATGTGAGTCACGGAGTTACATGCTAACCTCTTCTTGTTCGCTTTCTATCATGTGACGGACATGAAGAGGGTTTTGGAGGACGGTCCTTGGTCGTTTGAGAATCATACCCTAGTTTGTCGGCAGGTATGTGAGGGTTTTCTTCCCGGGGAGGTGAAACTGGATACGGTGGACATGTGGATTCAAGCTTATGATTTGCCCATGGGTTATACGTCTAATGTAATCCTTGAGCAAGTTGGCAACTATGTGGGAAAGTTTATTCGCACCGATGACAGGCCAGTGGGTGGGGCGTGGAGAACCTTTTACAGAATCAGGGTTGCGGTTCCAATTGATAAACCCTTGAAACGTCGAATGAAGCTAATTCGAAGGGATGGATCGTGGGGGTGGGTGAATCTAAAATACGAGCGTTTACATAACTTTTGCTTTTGCTGTGGAATGTTAGGGCACCTGGATAAGTTCTGTAGGAAGGCAAGGGTTTCGGACATCCCTCGAGAGCTTTTCCCGTTTGGAGAGTGGATGCGGGCAGGACGAAGAAAGGGACCGAGGCCGATCGGGGAACCCTGGCTTTTACCGCCGGAGGGTACGGTGAGTTCGGTGGTGCCGGTCCCGGCAGTCTTGGAAGGGACGGCGTCGTCAAATGCGGGCCATGAGGATGTGCATATGGCTTCGGTAAGGCATGAAACGGAGGATGGTGTTGTGGCGTCGGCAAAACGGCGCAGGCCGGGTGTGGAGGACGAAGGCCGTGAGGCTACGGAGGTTGAGGAAGAGATGGCAGTAGAAAGTGATCCAAAAAACTTGCTTGTGGCGGGTTCTGGTCCCCAGAACCGCCCAGTCCAATGAGTACGCTAAGATGGAACTGTCGTGGCTTGAGCAATCCACAGACAGTTCGCGAGATCACGGACATGGTGTCCAAAAAGAGGCCTGACTTTGTGTATCTTATGGAAACTAAGGTGGCAAGAGTGCATGCAGAGAATTTACGTGTCAAGATTGGGTTTGAGGGGCTGTTTTATGTGGATAATGATGGTCTAGCCGGGGGACTGGCTTTACTGTGGAGGAGGAACAATACTGCGAGTCTGATAACCTATTCCAAAAACCATATTGATGTGGAGGTTAATATGCCAGGGTTCGAGAAGTGGAGAATGACGTGTTAGTATGGTTTTTCTCAACGACACAGGCAGGGAGAGGCATGGGATCTAATAAAGTCATTTGTGCCACAATCTGATCTCCCATGGGTGATGATTGGTGACTTTAATGATCTGTTGTACCAGTAAGAGAAAAGAGGCAGAAACCCACACCCGAATAGCTTGCTCAGGGGTTTTGGTGATACTATTGCACAGTGTGGTTTATCCCAACTGCCTATGGAGGGATACCAGTTTACATGGGAGAAAGGGAAGGGTACTGTTGACTGGATTGAAGAGAGATTGGACAAGGTGTTATCCACGGCAGAGTGGTGTGGAATTGTGCCTCAAAGACGAGTAGTCAATCTCTTGACAAGAAAGTCTGACCATTCAGCCATCTTCTTGAGTATTCATGATCCTGAAGGAGGGGAGGGAATGAGGATGAGAAGGTTCCGGTTTGAGATGTCCTGACTACATGATGAGGGGTGTAGGGAGGTGGTGGAGGAGGCATGGGGGGAATGGAGGGGTGGTGGGGTGCAGGATTGCATAGAACACTGTGGGCGACGTTTGTCGCGTTGGGGAGGTGAAAGGCACTATAATTATGGTGAGCAGATCCTGCATCTTCGGAAAGAACAGCTACGCCTAAGGGGACGTATGGATCCAGTGTCTCTTGCTGAATTCCAACGTCTTGATGGAATTCTGACCCGTGTTGAGAACCAAGAGGATGCCTACTGGAAGCAAAGAGCCAAGCAACACTGGCTGGAGGAAGCAGATACAAACACAAGATTCTATCACAGGTATGCCTCTAACCGAAAGAAAAAGAATACTTTGCCTAGAATTCAGAATGATAATGGGGATTGGGTGGAGGGAAATGCCATGCATGCAGTGGTGATAGATTACTTTAATAGAATCTTTACTTCGGATAATCCTGCTTATCGGAGGGAGTTTTTTGCAAATATTACTGAGAGAGTCACACCGGCTTAGAATGAGGGCTTGCTCCGACCTTTTGAGAGGGAGGAGGTTAAACCTGCTTTATTCGCTATGTTTCCTGATAAGGCACCTGGCCTGGATGGAATGAATCCGGATTTCTATCAACATTTTTGGGATATTGTAGGGAGAGATGTGTCGGATTTTATTTTGGAATGTTTGAATACACGATCTTTCCCCTCTAAGTTGAATGAAACTAATGTGATCCTGATCCCCAAGAAGAATACACCAGAACGAATGACAGACCTCAGACCAATTGCCCTGAGTAATGTGGTTTATAGAGTGATGACCAAGATGATTACAAATAGAATGAAGCCGTTAATGGGTAATATTGTATCCGACCCTCAGAGTGCATTTATACCTGATAGACTCATCACGGATAACATTCTAATAGCTGCGGAGGTAGGGCATTTTTTGAATCGTAAGCAGTGTGGGGCGATGGGTTGGGGAGCTCTAAAGTTGGACATGGCAAAGGCGTATGATAGGATGGAATGGCCGTTTATAAAAGGAATGATTTTGGCTCTTGGGTTTGATGTGAGATGGGTAGATCTTATAATGCTTTGTGTGACTACAGTATCTTATACTTTTCTTGTTAATGGATCTGAAAGTCAATCGGTAGTACCTACTCGCGGATTACGTCAGGGGGATCCACTATCCCCGTATCTGTTTATTATTGGTGCTGAAGGGCTCTCTTTATTATTACAACAGGCACAGAATAAGGGTTTGATTCATGGATGCAGGGTTGCCAGAGGTGCCCCACCCATCTCTCATTTGTTCTTTGCAGATGACAATTTGTTATTTTTTAGGGCTAATGTGCAGGAGGCCAATGAAATTAAGACTTGTCTGGCAAAGTATGAGGCGTTATCTGGACAAGTGGTTAATTACCATAAATCAAGCATCTGCTTTAGTAAGAATACTGTTGATAATGATAGGGAGCAAGTGGCGCAGACTTTGGGAGTTGTTCAAGCTCCAAATTTTGGGAAGTATTTGGGTCTCCCCTCCTTTGTTGGAAGAAATAAAAAAGCAGCTTTTGCTTATATTGAAGATAAGATTAAGCAAAGGATTGGGTCATGGAGTAAAAAACTCTTGTCACAAGCAGGAAAGGAAATCCTTTTGAAAAGTGCGGCTCAGGCTATGTCTACCTTCTCAATGGGGTTTTCTTGTTACCCATATCGGTCTGCACGGCTATTGAGCGAACGATGAACCGGTATTGGTGGGGTACAGGCAGAGATAGAGGAATCCATTGGAAAGCGTGGGATAAACTCTGTATCCCTAAAAAGTATGGAGGATTGAGGTTCAAAGATTTGAGAGCTTTTAATTTGGCAATGTTGGGAAAGCAGGCATGGCGCTTCCTTACCAACACTGACTCTTTGGTTGCTCGTGTATATAAAGCCCGATATTATCCAAATAATGATTTTACGGAGGCATCTTTGGGAGGAAACCCAAGTTATTGTTGGCGGAGTGTTATGACAGCCAAGCAGCTAGTATGTAATGGAGTCAGGCGACGCATTGGGTCCGGAGCTTCTACACTCATATGGGAGCATCCATGGCTTCAGGATGATACTGACCAAATGATCCATACTGAGATGCCTCCACAGTTGGCTGGGGCTAAAGTGGTGGGGTTAATTGATCAAGAAACAGGCCAGTGGGACCAGCAGATTGTAGTGGACATTTTCGAACCAGATGATGTGCCTAGAATTTTGAAAATACCAATATCACCGGATTATGAGGATACATGGTATTGGCATGGAGATCCAAATGGGAACTATTCAGTGAAGGATGGATACAAATTAATAGTGGGAAATTATGATACCCTGGCTAATGTGAGTTATGATAAATGGCTTAAACTATGGGGTCTGAAAATACCACCCAAATGGAAAATATTTCTATGGAGATCTTTGAATGGTATCTTCCCTACAATGGATAATCTTCTTTTAAAGAGAGTTGAGGTTGAGCCGGTGTGCAATATGTGTGGGATGGATCATGAAGATATAATGCATTCATTGGTATCATGTGACTATGCAAAGGCCATATGGGCACAATCCAACCTCCCAATCCCCAATATTATAACGAATATTTTTCATGAATGGTTTAGTGCATTATTAAATGTTCTAGACTCTGATGGGATTATGTTCACAGCGACCATCCTTTATCACCTATGGAGAGCACGGAACGGAGCGGTCTGGGATGCTTGCCTCCAAAGACCCACGAGAGTCCTTGCTACCGCAATGTCCACCTTGAGTGCATGGACTCGGGTTCACTCGCCACCCGCGCTGCCACATTCGGCCGAACAGCAGATGCCTCCCGCCGAGAGCTTAGCCACGCCACAGCAGCCGGTAGTGCCACGGCATGGCCCGCCCCCTACAGCCGAAGCGACGCAGACCACCCACCAGCTACAACCGCTCCAATGTTACATCGACGCTGGTTACAAGCACCGAACGAACGCGGCAACAGCAGGTGCAATCCTTTTCACGGCATCTGGCGACTATCTTGCGGCATTTTGTGCACCACTCACAGCATGCTTTTCCCCACTGATGGCCGAAGCAATGGCATGCAAAGAGGTGCTTGCATGGCTTCGAGATCGTGGCGATCAACGAGTACGTATATTTACAGATTGTCATGCACTACAATGACAATTAACTTCATCCATGCCTACACCACAGTTATACGTAGGATACGTTTTACAGGCCTGTAAAGCCTACTTATCGTCTTTTAATATTGCTCATGTTAGTTTCATACCTAGATTGCAGAATTTTTTAGCACATAGTTTAGCTTCTACTGCTTTTGATTTTATCACTGCTATGTATTGGGACGTTGTCCCCCGCTGCATATCTATAAAATAACCATTATGGTTGCCTTCAAAATATATATAAGCTTTTCTCTTTCTTTTCTCTAACCTCTCTATTACTCTATATTCGATCTATCAAGTGTTTATCAAACATCTATATAAGCAATTTACATGCATCAGCCTTTTAAGTCACCAAACTGCTCATCGACATATAGAATATGTTGGATGACCATCTATATAAATTTGTCGGCTCATATATATATATATAAAGGTGAATAATCTCGCTTGCATCATCGTGCATGTATCTTGGAACTGTCAAAATCAATTACTAAGATAATAGTCAAATAGGTATCTTTTTTTGTTTTTGTTTTGGTTTTTTTTTTTTTCTTTTTTCTTTTTGTTTTGGTTTTTTTTTTTTCTTTTTTCTTTTTGGATGTATTATAATAGAAATAGTCGAATAAGTACTCATGGATATAATAGATGGATCCAGGACAAATTTATCCAAGAACACCAGGCTAAAGTCAACCCAACACTACTGGAAATTATGAAATTTCCGACCACCTGAAAGTGATCTTAAATCAAGTCGAAAGCCTTGTTCCGACCATTTTTGGTATCCGGAAAAACCTTTTTTGCTATTTCCGACCACTTTTTGGTATTAACTTGATTTAAGATTACTTTGAGGTGGTCGGAAATTTCATAATTTCCAGTAGTGCAAGATAAGTCCATCCCGGGAGTCCCAAGGCCAACCCCGTTGTCGGCCTCGGGGGCCCAACGCCTACACCGTTGTCGGCCCCAGGGTGGAGGAAGTCAAGTATAACAGAAGTCCTTTTATTTCCTTTTAGGATGCGTTTGGAAACTCGTAAAATGACTTCTGAAAAATGTTTTTTGAGTTTTAGAGATGAAAATGAGGTCAACGGAAAATAATGTTGTAGTCAATGGAAAATAAGTATGTTTTGGGGGAAAATGACTTCCCCTTTTTTGGGAAGTCATTTTCCAATTCTCATGCTTAGTATGTATAGTATATAGTTTGAGTGTATGTGTGATATAGATACACTATACTGTGTATATATATAGATACATACAGTGTATATATAACACACATACACATACTATAATTATATACACACTGTAATTATATATATATATATATATATATATATATATATATATATATATATATATATATATATATGCCCCCCTACACGCGCGCGCGCGCGCACACACACACACACACACACACACACACACACACACATATATATATATATATATATATATATATATATATATATATTCAAAATTGTCCACAAGGCTTAATGAGTGTTATTCACAAAAGGATTAATTTACTGCTGGAAATTAGGGAATTTTCGACCACCTGAAAGTGATCTTAAATCAAGTCGAAAGCAAAAAGTGGTCGGAAATAGCAAGAAAGGTTTTTCCGGATACCAAAAGTGGTCGGAACAATACTTTCGATTTGATTTAAGATCATTTTCAGTAGTGATTTATCAAAAATATCAAATAATTAAAATGTTGAAGTATACAATTTTTACCATTTTCCTACTCATTTTCTGGAAAATGAACCAAACACACGAAGGTAATTTTTTGTTGTGTAACCAAACATCGAAAATTAAAATTGATAGTGTTAATTTCCACGTAGTGCGGTAATTAAAGAATACTAGACCAATTAAAGCAAATAGAGATTTTATTGATCAAGTGAAGTTCCTAAGTACAATCTAAATGGCTGTTCCGAGTACCGACTGATTGTGGTCGGGATGCTCTGATAACAACCTATCGATCGTCCAAAAGTCCCTCACACTGTTGCCACCGCGGGTATTTATAGCCGCTGGGCCGGAGACACAAGTCCGGCCGTCCGGCATGTCACCCACGTAGCAATGACGTGTCTTCTCCCCGTAAGCCCTGCCTGTCAACGCCTAACGCTGCCACGTGCCTCCTCCTGGCTCTCTCGCCTAAGGGCTCTCACTCGGGTAACGAAGACCTCAGTCGGGCATCAACCCGGTCGGGCACGACCGGATTCTTCTAAGAAAGTCCGACCTGTAACCTGCATAAACAAGAATAAAAGACAAAGGCATGTCGGTCGGGGTATTCCCTACCAAGAGCCCCCCAGCCCGGGCCTTTTCGACCGCCCGGGAGAAAACGGGACGGGATGAAGAAGTCCAAACGTCCGCCGCCAAACCGACCGGACAGCTGTCATTCCCCCGTGCCACGTGTCGACCTCTGCACGCCACTGCGATCGCAACGGTCACCTCGGAGTCCGGAACAGTCACATCGGGCAAGTGGATCGTTTCCCGCCCAAATTCTCTCCTATAAATAGGCCTTCAAGGAGTTCATTTGAACCTTTACCAAGCCTCTTGAGTCGATCGGTATAGCCAGAGCATCCCGAGGACCACTCGTTTCCTATAATGGCTGCTCCACGTCCTCTCGACCGGGAGGATCTACGGGTGGTATTCGGTCGAGAAGAGCCTGTTCTTCTACCCTTTGTTGTTCCCGAGAAGGTTCTCGATCGCTGTAACACCCCGAAATTTTGAAACTTTTAAAACTTATATAATAAAGGTAATTCCTCATTAAATCCCGAAATTCAACATAAAAGTATGGGGTGCTATGCCACACCTGAGCTAGAGAACTCAGGTGCACAGGCTAACTAACTAAAATCCTCAATGATGTCAATACATAAGCATGGCACGCAGGCCAAAAAGGGAAACTAGCTACTCTACGCTCCAGATCTCTAGCGCGCTCCGGTGTCTACTCATCTGTGCCTGAAAGCCAAATATATCTGTTAAGCGAGAGATGCTGGTAACCCACTCCAACGCGTTGAAATACAATATAGGTGTATATATATATATAGATATAGATATAGGAAAAACCATTTTGAAGCAAGAAGATATATACTTAGGAGACTCTAGCTTTTAAAACCAGGAATAGACTCAACAAGTAGGGATAAGCACATCAAGCAGTGATAGATAGCCAAGTAGAGATAGCAACATAAGGAATACGCATCCAAGGTCACAGTTCACTTTCCAATTCCATCACATCATCATTTATTCATCATTCCTAGCACATAATCCTTGATGGCGCCACCGGACCAATCGCATGTCCCGAACATGAGGGTTAATGCTTATAGCATTAACACGGCCCCGCAGCACCCTACCTCAGTACTGCTGTATGAGGGGAGTTGATCGCAACCAACCCTTTGAGAACCGCTGACGAACTCAACGTCGGATCACGATCCGACACACTGCTGACGCACCCAGTCGGTGGACCGCGATCCCCTTTACAAGGGGGGACTTACGACCCTACACACCGCCGATGGGTACATCCGGTGGACCATAGCGGATCAAGCCCGACACACTGCGGAGCTATACTCAGTCGGTGGGCGAAGATCCTCAGAGACTATGGCCCTACACACCGCCATCCCATCACCCGGTGGGTCGCAGCCAGCCGTAGCCCTACACACCGCCCGATTACTCGGATCGGTGGACTACAGCCTTCGTCGGCTTATTGGCCCTACACACCGTCCTGGCGTGTTCAGGTCCGGTGGGTCATAGCACCGAGGCCTATGTGGACCGCAGCCCAAGAAGTGAATCACTGACCGCAGCCAGGAGGATGAACCGCAGCTCATAAGTAACCAATTTGACCGCAGCCAATTTCTGAACCATAGCTCAGGAACATCCCATTTGATTGCAACCAAATTGGGGCATCATACATCACATAACACATAGTAGCACGTAGTAGCACATAGGGAAGGGAAAGGCATATAAATAACTTACGTGTGATCATCCACATACTAAGAATAGTCCTAAGGGTTCATATAACTTCCACCTAGGTCAACAGGTTACTAATTCAACTAGCATGCAATTCCTAAGACACATTTATCCTACGTGTTACGGGCAGCGGGTTGCCGGCGGGCAGTCGGCTGCCCGGTGGCTGCCCGTTGCCGGGCAGCGGGTAGGTGGCGGGTTCCCCTACCCCCACTTACCCCCACTGACTCTTTTCTCATATATTCGTCCCGGGAACCTTTGTGGAACCCGAAACCATGCTTAGACACTTTTAAACGCAAATAACGACACCACGTAAGCAATTAACGGATCAAAAGCGAGAATCATGTAGGACTTATCCTATTACGACTTCTAAATATAAACAACACCCGAACATGTGAATTCCCACCCAAATATAAATCAAGAACATCACAATACAAATTCCCAATCCAACCTAGGGCTCTAATCCCACCCAAATCATCAAGAACATATTTTATCTTTAACATCAAGAAATATCAAGATTCGTCAAGAATCATCACATCATAATCAAGAACTTCTTTTTAACATCGAGATCATCTAGATTATCAAGAAATCATATAAATCATCTTATCAATCATCAAGAACATAACACAATTATCATAGGAGAATTCAATCAAGACACATGAATATAGGGGGAGGCCAAGGAAGGAGATTATAGCGAAGAAAATAGGTTTTGTTGAGACATGGGTTACCTCTTTGCCTTAATTAATCGTCCCTTGGCTATTAAGGTTCTTCCCTAAGATTTCCATCCGTTTTAATCTCCCTAGGCTTGGTGGTGGGGAGTCCCTTGGGAATTCTTGTGTGGTGATAATTATTGTGGTGTGTCTTCTAGGTGCCTCCTATGTCCTTATATATATATATATATTTAGGAGTCCTAATTAGGGTCTGAATGGTATGGGTTTACTAATTCTATTCCTTATATGATTAAGAGCTTCTTTTAGGGATAAGGGTCCATGGTCCATGGTGGACCATATTAATTAATTAAAGAGAATCCTAATCATAATCTGAATAGTAAAGGTACACTTTCTTTATT